GAAAATGCTGAGCCTCATCCCAGACACTTCATACTTGACTACAAACCACTCCAGTGAGAACTGAAGATTACAGCATGATGAGACCAAGAGGACCACAGCATCTGCAAATAGCAGAGAAGGAATCCTGAGGCCACCGAACCAGACTCCCTCTGCCTCATGGCTGCACCAAGAAATTCTGTTCATAAAAGTTACAAACAGAATTGGTGACAACTGGCAGTCATGGTGGAGCTCACCTCCCACCCAGAAGGGGTCTGACTTATTGCTGCCATTGAGAACCTAACTCTTTCACCACTTGAATAGGGACTGAAGAGGCCGTAGCAATGAAATCCCAATCCCAGACTCACGGAGCACCCCCCACAGTGTACCCTGAGGAACATGGTCAAATGCATTTTCCTAGTTCATAAAACACTTCTAGACTGCTGGGTAAATCCCCATGCACCCTCAAAGACTCTAGAGAGGGTAAAGAGTTAATTGAGTGTACCGGAGCTAGGATGGAACCCACATAGTTTCTCCTGAATCTCAGGTTCGACCATCGATCAGACACTTCTTCAGCATCTCTGATTAGACCTTCTTGAAGAGGCTAAAGATAGTGATGCTCCTGTAATTGGGGCACCTCCTTCAATCCCCCTTTATGAAGAGGAGGACCACCACCCCAATCTGCCAATCCAGTGGCACTGCCCCCGATGTTCATGCAATGTTATAAAGAGGTTTCAACCAAGACAACCTTGCTGTATACTGAGCCTTGAGAATCTCAGGGCAGATCTCATCTACCCCCTGGAACCCTGCTGTTTAACCACCTTGGCACCCTCTGCCCCAGCTACGGATGGACCAAGGCCCAAGTCCTCCAACTCTGGGTCCTCCATGGAAGACATGTTGGTGGACTTGAGAAGGTTCTAGATGCATTCATTCCACCTCCCTACAAAAAGAACATACAAATCAATAACTGTGTCTTTGTTCGTGCTCGCCATACATCTTTCAATCCCACATGCAGTTACTTTTCATTAACTGGAAAGGTCAGTCGGGTTCCAAAGGGTGGCAAGTGCAACCATGGCTTTATAATGTAGCTGTATTTTTAAAAAATATAATTTTTCTGTTTATTTATTTATTTATTTTTATTTATATGCCTTCTTTTAAGATTGTCTACTGTTGTCATTGTATTGTCAAGTGGTCTCCAGCTACAAGTACCTGGGTGTGCACCTGAACAACAACCTCAGCTGGGGCAACAACACAACCAGCCTTATCAAGAAAGCACATCAGAGACTCTACTTCCTCAGGCGGCTGAGACGAGCTGAACTGGGAAGCTCAGTCCTCACCTCCTTCTACAGGTGTGCAGTGGAGAGCACACTTGTGCTCCAGCATCAACATGTGGCATGGAGGCTGCACAGCTGCTGAAAGAAAAGCTTTGCAGAGAGTGGTGAAGGCTGCACAGAAATCTGTTAGTCAGTCTCCTCACCATCACAGACATCTACACCTTAAGATGCAGGAAGAGGGCCACCTGCATCATGAAGGACCCCACTCACCCAGCGCACACACACTTTTTGCCCCACTCCCCTCAGGAAGGAGGTTGAGGAGCATTAAGTGCAGAACCACTAGAGTGAAGAACAGCTTCTACCCTGAAGCTGTTAGACTCATGAATCCCTCACCAGGATAATCACTGTGGGAAAAAAATCACTGTAATGCTACTTAATTGTTGATATGTGCTGCTAACTATCCGTGCTGTTGATCTCATGCTGCTGATTCATTTCATGCTGCTGTATTCATTCATACTCATCTGCTCACACAGACTCATGTTTGTGCTGCTGTTTGGCATATTATTTTTGCACTGTAACTGTTTAGCATATTTCTTAGTTTAGTGTATTTCTTACTCCATATCTTAGACCTTATTACTGTTTTTCTTTTACAATTTATACTTTTGTTGGATGTAACTGGGACCCTGTGTACACAATTTTGTTCCACCACATGTACCATATGTGGATGCGAATGACATTTCCTGCCTGATCGTCATGAAAGGGAATGTTGTCATGATCCTGGATACCCAGCTGCTGAGGGCTCATGGTCCATTGTCAGATTTCAGTCCAGCTCTGATGGACATTAGATCAGCAGAAGTGAAAGTTAAGGACAAAATACACACTCATGTCTGTGGCATGACTGGTGGTTCTACCAGCCTTTTCTGACAATCACAGTCATCTTTCATTGTAAGAATGATCGCTGTAGTCTACTGATGCCTTTTGTTTGAAGCACATGTACTGCATAAATTTGGTGGGTGCTGTACAAAAAGCTCTATTTTGACCTTAAGTTTAGCCCAAGTTCCTCTACTGTTTGTGTTAGTGCAGGAAGAACTCAAACAAACGGCTCCTCACAGAGACACACACCTGTAACCATGTTTGATGTGAACTCTTCAAGTACAGTAGTCCCTTGATTATCGCGGTGGTTATGTTCCACACAACCTCACAATAGGTGAAAAATCACGTAGTAGGAACGCTACATTTATTTTTAGCATATATTTTAAGGCTTTATAAACCATTCCCACACTCTTGCAATGTTGTAAACTCTTAAACCTACGTAATTTTAACAACATACATATATGTACTGCACAGTAGTTACTGCAAAATTGTATATGGGTACTCACCAGCCTTGGTCCAGTTCTGGTCTGGTTCTGATCGGCTTTCTGCAGCCGTTGGGCACCAAGACACTTTTAGAGAGAGCTGGACCTTTGGATAGCCAGCACAAAACCACACAATGGTCCTGATTGAGTCTAAATAATTCAGAGGGATCTAGATGAAAAAAGTCCAGGTGAGCGCTGGAGAAGACACTGGACCTCCAAGCAAAGTCTCACCATTCAAGTCTGCTTCCTGGGCTGGCAAGCAGTGTTGGCATAGTTACATTGAAAAAGTAAATTTAATCAGATTGCTGATTACTCCTTCAAAAAATAACTTAGTTAAGTTACTGATTTTTGATTGGAAAGTAGCTAAGTTAGATTACAAGTTACTTTATTAGTTACTTTCAGCAGCTGCTGACAACAACCTTCTGCCACCTCAACATAAAAAGTACATTCAATTTAATTCAGTTCATTTATATAGCGCCAAATCACAACAAAGTTGTCTCAGGGCACTTTACAGGAACATCCACATACATTAAAGTCAATTAGTAAAGTTCTCTATCTAAGGAATCCAGCAGACAAGTTGAATCTTGGCTTTGTTGCAGTCTCCCATCCTGAGCAAGCACAGTGGCAACAGTGGAAAGGAAAAACTCCCTTTAAAAAGGAAGAAACCTCCAGCAGAACCAGGCTCAGGACAAGCGGCCATCTGCTTTGACCGGCTGGTTTGAGAAGACAGGAAGGAGAGACAGACGAACACAGAATGGTAGGTCCAGGTATAGGTCCAGGTGTATCTGAAAGACAAAAAAACACATGTTAAGGATAGAAAAAATAATTACAAATACAAAACAGGTTAAGCAGAGTAAGTAAAGACAGTAGTAGAGTGAAAAGTGTGGTCAGTTTGTCCTCCATCAGTCGAAGCCTATAGCAGAATAACTAAGGGACAGCTCAGGAAACCCAAGCCGACCCTAACTATAGGATTTAGCAAAAAGGAAAGTCTTAAGCCTAGATTTAAAACTGGATAATGTGTCAGCCTCATGGACAGAGATTGGAAGTTGGTTTCACAAGAGAGGAGCCTGATAACTGAAAGATCTGCCTCCCATTCTGGTTTTGTAAACTCTAGGAACCACAAGTAAACCTGCAGCCTTGAGTTTGTCCAATACTTACTTTATTGAAAGTGCATTTTAATGGTAACATTAACAATGTATCTCATTGGCATATAAAGATGAACTGAAAAACTATTTCAGGAAGAAAAAAATATATAAAAAATGGTCTTTCTTGACTCCATTAAACATAAATACTTGTTTTTATAAAAAATAAAGTAGTATTTCTTGACTTCAGTATCATAAAGAAATACTTGCTTTTTATAGGAAATAGTGTCTTTCTTGACTTCACTAAACAAATACTATTTTTTACAAAAAAATAAGTATTTCTTCACTTTGTTAAACATAAATTTTTTTATATACTAAAGACAGTCTCTCAAAGTCAAAATCAAAGTTTTTTTTATTTTATGTACAAAAGGTCCCAGTTACATTCAACAAAAGTATAAATTGTGAAAGAAAAACAGTAATACGATCTAAGATATGTGTCGTAGTCTGAGGTTAGCAGCGAACCCAGAGTGCAGAACAGGGACTCAACTCGGCAGATATACAAAAAAAGTTTTAATGATAAATAAAAGTGCAAAATAAACAGGCTGACGGGGCAGCAAAACTTACATGAATAAGGCACGAGGAACTCAGGCGACAAGAGAGACACGGGGAACTCGAGGGACCAGGAAGACTCAGGACAGACAGGACAAGACTCAGGAGACCAAGGGAGAGCACCAACGAAGACGACCCGACAAAGGACAAGACAGAATAGGACTGCTTAAATACTGTGAGGAGACGAGACATGATGACAGACAGCTGAGACGAGACGCAGGTGGCAACAATGGAAACTAACGAGGAAGCACGAGGGAAACAGACACAAACCGGGCCACAGAAAAGTACCGTCCTAACAATATGAACTAAGAAATACGCTAAACTAAGAATACAGTAAGCTCTAACAGTACAAAACAATACACCAAACAGCAGCACGAACATGAGTCTGTGTGAGCAGATGAGTAAGAATGAACACAGCAGCTTGAAATAAATCAGCAGCATGAGATCAGCAGCATAGATAGTCAGCAGCACATATCAACAATCAAATAGCATTACAGTGATTTTTTTTCACAGTCATTTTCACAGCGATAATCCTGATTAGGGATTCGTGAGTCTACCAGCTTCAATGTATAAGCTGTCCCTCAGTGTTGTGGTTCTACACTTACTGCTCCTTGATGATGGACATGTTTAAATATTTTCACTGTAATGATAATGAGGTCTACTCTGGCTGTGCCTCACAAGTGAAGAAGTCCATCTTACCTTGGCTAGTAATTGTGGGGCTCTGTGGTGCAGGAGCAGTTGTGGTGGGGCTCTGTGGTGCAGGAGCAGTTGTGGTGGGACTCTGTGGTGCAGGAGCAGTTGTGGTGGGGCTCTGTGGTGCAGGAGCAGTTGTGGTGGGGCTCTGTGGTGCAGGAGCAGTTGTGGTGGGGCTCTGTGGTGCAGGAGCAGTTGTGGTGGGGCTTTGTGGTGCAGGGGCAGTTGCGGTGGGGCTCTGTGGTGCAGGGGCAGTTGCGGTGGGGCTCTGTGGTGCAGGGGCAGTTGCGGTGGGGCTCTGTGGTGCAGGAGCAGTTGTGGTGGCACTCTGTGGTGCAGGAGCAGTTGCGGTGGGGCTCTGTGGTGCAGGAGC